GCGGAAGGTGCCGGGTGCGGGAGCATCCATGGGGCCTTGGCGGAGTCCCTGGGCGCCTTGAGCGATGGCGTGAGAGAAGGGCTGGGGCAGGGTTGTTCTCTTCTGTTGGTTTTAAAAAGAGAAGCTGCTTTCGTACGTGGGTTGTCATTAGAAATCTGGTTACTGCCCCAAACCGACTGACGATGAAATTCGAGAGGGGGGTAGGAGTTCTCGCACTGCTTATCTTTCTGTTAACTGCTGCCGTTCGCTTGTTCCTAAATTTCTCCCTTGCTCGGGCAAAGGCTTGTGTAAGGTTAAGTGCTGGCTGCAACGGGCCGCTCGGAACCATCGCCTGGGGCTTGGGGCGGGCCTTGCAGTTGTGGGACAGTGCCGAGAAAATTAACTTGCACTTGAAAAGACTGCACAAACTGGGCTTGGGGTGACGTTTTTTAGGGATAAAACGATCGTTTACATTTTTCCCGGAAACTGAATGGGGGATATGCCTGCTGGGAAAACAGAACAAAACAAAGCACAGCAAAAAACCCAAACACAACGAACCACAAACATTTACAAATTAATTTTAATAGAAGTATCTCTGTTAGTGATTATGTAAGTCAAATAAGACTTTTCAAAGCAAACTGGAGGTGAAACTGCAATATTCTCATGATTTGTCTTTACGAATAATTTGAGTGGGGCTTTGCACTGATTGCCAAGCGTTATCCAGATACCTGTGCTTTTAAAAATGCCTAGTTATGCCAAGATGTTGTCCAAAAACTGGAGTTTGTCACCTGGTGTGCAACAAGTCAATCCACACACAGACTCAAGATATCATTTTATTACATTTCTACGCAGAGATGGATGCTAGGTAGTAATCCACAAAGCTAGCATGCCTGGATACAGTCATGTCAGGTATTTGTACAGTACAAAATGTTAATTGTGTCTTCTTTGCCCCATCCCTCTCATATTGGTTAGTCTTTTACTGCTTCGATTGAAAGTTGCAGTGGTTTTTGATTTTAGTATGTATTCTTGGTAAGTGGGGGTCTTAATTCGAGGGGGGTCTCAGGTACCTGGAGGTGTGGTCTTCACATTATAATAAGGTCTCAAGATTTGTAATAACAAAAGGCCCCCATGCTTCGGGACCTGTTACACCTCAAGGACAGCAGTTCCAGTGATTCCTGATAAGGGGTGAATGCTCCCAAATCGCTCCTGCTGTCTCAAAGGCCAGACTGATCTAGCAACATCTTATAGTTCACATATTCCCTGAGTTACAAGTTTGACTTCTTTATTGCCAGGTAACAAAAATTCTAAGTGAAGTTTTTTGCAGGGGGTTAGGATGTTACACAATGTGAAGGTAAAAATATAAGACTTAGGAGAGTGGTTTATATAGACGTAAAAATACGTTGACTTTACTGGAGGTAACTCCTCCAGTTGGTGGTGTATGGCTTTGTTTATTTATGTTAATTAATAGTGTTTAAGTCTGAAGAAGTGATTTATTATATTGTTTCTTCCAAGTCTGCGTATTGTTTATTCACAGGTGCTTAGAGAATCTTGATTGACCTTTTTTTAAATAAAAAAAAATCAAAGTTCTCTAAATTATTCTTTCTGAAATAGACTAGAAATATACAAGCTAGAACTGCTACTGGCAGTTGGAAGTATTCCTTGACATATAAAGAAGTGTAAGCCATGAATTTAGGTTAATTAATTAATCCAAGAAGAAATGGAGGTTTTTGGTTTTTTTGCAATCCTTGAAAATCAAACTGATAAGACACTTTCTTTTGGACTTGACAGATGTTTCCAGTTTCTTAGTGCTGCTGTTCCTCACAGTTTTTCCCGGTAGCTGTAGGGTTACATTGACAAGACTCTGTCAGATTGCTGCAGCTGATTACTGCAGGGAAATTAAACAGTTCTGATAATTCCTCCTGGCCCTTACAAAGGCTGCCTTCTATCATGGGCAGGGCAACAGCTCTGAATAGAGGGATCCAAATATCAGAACTAGGTAGTAGTAGTGGATGGGAAGCAGTAGAGATACTTGTAGAGGTTTCTTGTCAAGATACAGTCATTACATCTGTAAAAACCCTTTTTCATTAAATTACTGTGTAGTCTTGTGGTTATTTGATGGGCAAGTCCTCAGGCATCTATGAACAGGAATATTAAGGCTTTTCTTAATGCAATATTTCATTTTAAGAATAATGTACCAATATAATGGGAGGTTTATTAAGACTGATTTGATTATTTTGTTTCCAGTTGATCTGAAGATAAGCTCTATCAAGTGTTTCCTGTCTGTAATTGTGTTTTTTGGTAAAAAATCTCATTTTGTTGGTAACAGGAAAAAAGTGTCAATTTAAGGGATTTATGCTTTTCTTAGCATCTTGAGGGGAGGAAAAAAAAACCCAAAACGTGAGAGCTTATTATACTTATATTTGCTTTGTACAGATGTCTCACTTTACAAGTGAAGATGAAGCTCTGTTACAGTCTATGCTTAGACAGTTGCTGCAGAGTGTGAAGGAAAAAATCACTGGAGCCCCATCAGTAGAATGTGCAGAAGAGATTCTCTTGCATTTGGAGGAAACAGATGAGAATTTTCACAAGTAAAAATATTTTTGCTATTTTTAATATTTTTAAGGCGGTAAAATGTGTTGAATTATGTTACTCCTGGCAAATGTTAATGTTTACAATTTGTCTTGCTATGTGGATGTGAATGTATTTGTATATATAAATATTCCTGTAACTAATCAATTCTCAGAAGATGCTAAGTTAGAGAATAAGATTAATTTTGCCATTTTCCTGCCTTTTTTTGCCTTTTTTTTTCTCTATTGGTAATAGATTTTTACTGTAATAGTAATTGATGAGCTGTTTGTGAGAGAACTTACAGAGCTATCTAACTTAGCCAACTCTGATGCATGTGCACATGTGTAATGTACTAAATGCACACGTGAACAAAAAAAAGCCTGAAGAAGTCCTCGCTGAAGGCTGACAGGCAGTATTTTTGACACCTGCTAGACAATACAATTTTGTTTTTCAAAATAAGGAAAATTTTCAGAAGGCTACATGACCTCCATATTTAATTGCTCTGTCTGGCTTATATTGCTGAACCCTTGTATATCTTAACAGGTAGTAATTCTTTTAATTTATGTTTTGAATAAAGCAAAAATATATCTCCATCACATTTCTGCTAAATCAGACTTGACAGTGTCACCTCACTTACATGCGATCTAGATTTCTGGAGCCCACACTCCTCTTTAAATGGTATTCTAACTTGTTTATTTTTTTACTACATGGGAGATTTTTAGTATACATTTATGACAAGTCAAGAGAATATCAAGCTGAAATGACCTTGAAGACATTTTAATAAGGACCAGAGTTCTGCGACCTGACTTCTACTGGGAAAGCTGGTTCCCTGCCAGTTTTTTTCAGAAATAGCACTTATCTACATTCTCTTAAATTTGTCTAGTTTTTAGCATTGTTTTGTCAGTGGTAGAAGTTAGGTAAAAGTAAATGAGTGAAACAGAACTAGGGTTTATCTAAAATTTCACTATAATTTTAAAACTTTCATGCTTTTGTATCTTCTGAAGATGCTAAATGCTTTAAAATGTATTTTAGCTCAATTTTATTTTGTATTACAAATTGTATCAGATAACACTTTTGTTGGCAGTGTTGTGAATTTTGAGCACCAATTTACCAGGACACAAGCACAAGAGTAAAAAAAACTTGCTTATAAACATGTCAAAGTTGAAAATTAAATGTAATTTTGAAAGAAAAACATTTTTGTTTAAAGGAAAATGTACATAGTAAGAAAACCCAAACAACCAAAAACCCATGAAATTACTTCTGTCAGTATTTCTTCTGAGGACTTATTAGGAGACTACCCAGGATGAGAGAGTAAAGTCTACAACTGAGGGAAACAATGCATACATATCTTGCCCCTTTAGAACAGTGAAACCGTGGCATCCATTACTCTTTCTGGTATGTTAAAAAATTGTTGATCCTAAAGATACTTTCTTTTCATGAGAAAAGTTTTAACTTATGTTTAGTGGAAAATCAAGTGATACTTTAAATGCAGAATGTGAGTGTTACTCTCTGGCACTGGAATATTTCTGGAGGTATTCTAGTCTTGTTCACGACCCATGGCAGTATAGTTTGGTTTTCATGGAAGGTCAGAGAGGTCATATGGCGATTTATTAGTGAGACCATTAAGAAACTTTCTCCTTGACCCTTAGTCTGTCCATCCAGACCGCAAGCTCCTTTATTAGTAGTGTGTGCTTTTGGATTGTCCAATATACTACTTCAGCTCAGCATTTTGATCAGCCTTGTTTCTGCCTCATGGTTCTTTTACCTCAGTAATTTTATCAGATTTTGAGGCCTTACTTTATCCTGTGTTCCCACTTTGATGTGGAAAAGACAAACACAGGATTCTCAGAAAGCTAATAAAGAGCAAAACTGAATAATGTTCAAAATTTATGAGCAGTAGTAGAAATCAGAATTTTTAACTAATTAAGTAGCATGTTTTCTATTGTATTTCTTCCTTAAATTAAAGTCATGGAGGTTTTTTAGCACTTTTTTTCCCCCTGATGGTTCCTTTATAAGCCCAGTAAGATCAGTCTGAGTTGATTCTGTATGTGACATAGTAGTTCTATCATTGCTGAAACACTTTTTTGTTAGAAAACATTTTTAAGGTGTAAGAATGATGCAGAAGATCAAGGGTAGGACATCAAGCAGGCATAAACTTAGTGGCGTGAATAATGATGTGCCTGCTGTGTATCTCAGAGTGAAGCAGTCACTGCAAAAACATACATCCTGGAAATGTTACTGTCATAAAACAAATAGGAGAAAGTGTTATGAAAGCTTTAATTCAGTGGAGAGTCGCGTAAAGTTTCATTATTGCAAAAGTAAAAAGCCAGCCTGTGAGACAAATGAAAATGCAAATAAACATGTTTACATCTTTCTTGAGATGTATTTCTGTTACTTTCATTGAAAACAAAAGTGGAAAAAGAATGGAAATAAGGGGGTAGGGGAAAAGCACTGTTATACCTGATGGAACTTGAGGTAGGCAATCCAGTGAGGAAGTATGTATCATGAGACAAGACACAGTTTTCTGTGCTTTTTTTTTTTTTTTTTTTTTTTTACGTATTTTGAATGTAGTCTGGTTGGTGTGTTGGTTTAGTTTTTGGTTTTTTTGTTTTGTTTTGTTTTGTTTTTTTTTCCCAATACCCAAGAAAGGCAAAAGCTTCTGCCTGTTGTAACAGTTGCTTTTATTTACATTTGCATTTTATAGCTTTGGACTCTGTACCTACATGGTGAACTGACTTTTTTGTTTGAAATTTTCTCACTCTGTATTTATCCAAATGAACACAAAATAGTTGCACATCTGCATTTGATATAATTAAAATATTATGATGCATCTACTGTTTATGTATGGTTACTTTTTTGTGTGTTTCTGTTTGCCTTGTCATTTATACAAATCAGAAGAGTAACCAAAACAAATGTTTATATGTTCTAAACACTACTTTTTAGCTATTTTTATAGCTAATACAGTCTGAGGACCCAGTGAGAGTCTTTCATTTGAAATGCCACTCTGATTATTCTTTTGTTTAAGCAAGTTTCTGTGAGTATCTAATAAGAGCACAAAGTGCCAATTTCCTTACATTTAACATGTACATGTAATCACAGACAGCTAGTTTGTCCGTTTGGCTGAGTGAAATCTGCGTGCTGTCATGACACAGACTTTCGTAAGCCTTACACATGCTTATATGCTAGAATTTATAAATGGTGTTTTCTGTGTTTCCTCTCATTTTGTATGTATACTGCATAAATAAGACTCCATAAGACAGTGCTGTGTTCAGCATGCTCCAAATTAATGTTTCTTTGGAATTTAAAGTCTGAGATTTCTTGATATTCTATGATATTTTTTTTTTCTACAAATCCTTAACCTTTTGTCTGAGTAGATTTTTACATTTAGAAGCAGCACAAAAGGAAATTAGAAACTCTTTGGTACTGTTGCTTCCTGGAATGTGCTGATAATGACCATATTGAAGAAAATCAAACATCATTTTGGTTTTTTTACACAGTTGAATTTTATTTCTCTCCAAGTCCTAAGCCCTCACCTTAAAGTAATAACAGGTCTGCTGGGTGAGAAGATAGGGAATGTTAATATAATGTTAGACAGTTGCTGCAGAGTGTGAAGGAAAAAATAAAAAAAATTGATGGTGGGCTTAAGGATATCTGTTACATTTTAATTTTTTATATTGGTTTCAGCTATGAGTTTGTGAAATACCTTAGACAATATATAAATAATACTGTGGGATCTGTGATTGAAGAAGAAACAGAAAAATGTACTTCTGCTCAAAATCAGGGTGAAGTATCTGGCTATGATACACTGGTCCAACATGTTACGAAGAAGACTCATGAATCAAAAGAGTGAGTATATACGTGTAATTGACATTTTTGCTTCCTCTTGGTCTTTATCTTCCTTTCTCCTTTCAAGAACTTGTTTTGAAAAAATAACTTCTGAACCAATGGGTAACAAAACTGGTTCTTTGCTTTCAAAAATCAGTGTAAGCAATTCAGATATTCCCACCCTACATTGCAAGTTGTCATGCTTTGTCTCACTCTTGAATTAAGATTATGAACTATTGCATAAAAAGATCAGTAGCAAATCTGTGAAGTTTTTGGGGTACCTAGGACTGGAGCTGGGCAGAGTTAAGATTTGAGAAAAGAATCACTACTTCATACTATTTCACTAGCTGCAAATTAAACTCAGTTGTGATATGGAAGTTGGCCTAAAGGAAAAAATTGTTTTATCAGGTATTAAATTTTGATAATTTCTTTAGATATAAATGCAGAGTCTGCATGACAATGTTGTTTTCTTAAAAAAAAAAAATAGAATTCATGTGTATTTTTTTTTTTTAAGATTTGTTCCTTGGTATCTAGCCAGGTATGCTGTGAGAGTAGTGTGTTAAGTCATATCTGCTTTCATTGACGAGTTTAAAAATTGAAATTTGAGCTATCTTGCTGTGTATTTTAGTGTACATGCAAACATACTTCTGCAGCGTTGTCTGTAATAACGTAGAATTGGTATGTGGACCAACTGTATCTAACCAAGATTTTTTGACTCAGACTGTCAGATGTCCAGAAATCAGTAGGTGTGCAAAACCACATGCTGGCATATTACAGGGTCTATGGTCCAGATTAATTGGCTTTGAACACTGTATTTAGTAAAGAAGCCCTAAATAGAAAAACCTCTGTGAGTACCAGTTAAATTACTTTCTTAATCATCTCTTCTCTGCTACTATTCACCTTGCTAGGGACATTAAAATAGCTTTATTTTTTTTTTTTTTTTTTAATACAGAGGCTGGTAGCTCTCTTACTGCATTTTCATGCTTTGGATTTTGAATTTGCATAGGCAGATAATTGCTGTGATTCTTTAAAGCAGTTGTCAGTAGTACTTATAAAATGGTTTTTAGCGTTATACAGCTGTTATTTCCAGAAAATACATGAAACTTCATAAGTTTAGTCTGTGCATCACATAGAGTTTTGGAATTCCTGTACAAAACCTAAATACATCATAATGCTTAAATGCTTAAAGTATTGTTTCTTTAATTAAAGAACACAGTATACTTCTGTCATCATAGTGAATCAGGTCCTTGCCTCTGTATTTTTGATTGTCGGAGAGAGTCATGATGAGGGCCTTACTGAGATTGAAGTGTTAGTGTGGAAACGGTGAAATTAAAGTGAGCACCTGAAATGGTGGTTGTTGAAAAATGAAAAAGAACCAACCAATCCCCTGCTATTTTAGCATCAGTGGCCATCTTTATGTGTGTGGAGGAAGAAAACAAAAAAGGCAAATTTTGACTCTCATATATTTTAGCCACTAAAATGATTTTATAAACGACTTCAGCTGAACTATTTTTTTCACTAATTTTTATCGCAGAATTGTATCTTCATTTCCATCTCTTTTTTTTTAGTGGAACGAGGATTTTACTGTGATGCCTGTTGTTTACTATGTGTCCTCATAAAAAAGGAATTTAAAAATAGTGTATGTTTCTGTTGTAGAAGATTTTATTTTCTGTTTGGTTTTAGAAGGTTTCTTATCTAGAAGTGCACAGAAATATGTTGTCTGAACCATGGTTTTATATGGTCCTTTTCACCTGCCTGCAAGCATTCTGAACTCAGCATTACTGAGTCTCACTGGGATGGTCTTGATACCATTTAAGGATCACTTGAAGGTTCCAGTTTTGTTCATTGCAATTATTAATTTTCTGTGGTAGGTAGTATGCTTAAAGGTATTTATGGGAAAAGTGTATTAAGGAATTTAACTCCTTAGTGATACATTTGCAGTTTTCATAGTACAGTCATTTATGTTAAAAAGCAGTTCTTAATTGACTACACTTGGCTTTTATTTTCACCTATAAAATAAATTTTAGGATGACTGTTTTTCAGCTTGTGCTGTTTGTATCTTTTTATTTCAAAGATCAGGACCTTAGGGTTCTTGAGCTCATTAAAGTTGGTAGAAGCAGCTCTAGTGAACTAAATATGTCTGATTCTTATATTTTTAATTTGAGAGATAGGAGGATATTGAAACACAATATGGTTATTTATATCTTTGGTGTCCGTAAAATAAGTAATACTAGCCTTAAAGTAAAAAAATAATTTGAAATAAAATATCAACATCTTACAGTAGGATGTTTTTCTGAAGCAGCTTTCATTTTGAATTGCTTCCTTGTGGATATTATTGTTCAATTTAGGTAACTTAAAAACCCCCTAGTTCTGTTGAAAGAAAATGATTTTCTGTGCATGAATGTACTCAAGATCTTGAATCAGGATGATGTGTTGTTCTCTTCTGTTGGTTCTGCTTGAGGCTTGTGGCAGAAGGAAAAGTTGGATGTTGAACTTGAAGAAACATAAACAGTAGCAAGGATGAGAACTGGCCTGTTTTCAAAGGGACAGATTCTCCCTTTTGGTAGATTCACATTTTTCTTTCTTAAGAACCTCCCAGAACAGGATTATGTTAGTGGTATTTCATTGAATGGTTTTAGAAGGACAAAAAAGAATATTATTATAACTCTAAAATACAGCTGTTGGAAACTTCTAAGGTACACACATTTTTTGCTGCTCATTTTGGATGTGGATTTGTTTTTCATTCATTTCTGTAAATTCAATGAGTTTGGATCTAAGTACCATTATGCCATATTCAGTTATTCACAATTTAGTGATTTTTTTTTTAATTAATGGTTTTTATGCTCTTTAATATTGAAATGATCTTTACTTTGAAGATACAGGGAAATGATGCATGCCTTGAAGAACGTCATGATGGTTGTGGTAGAATCTTTGATTAACAAGTTTGAAGAAGACCGGATGCGTAATAAGGAGCTGGATAGTAAAACAAAGAAAGAACGTCAGAGTGGCTATTTTACAGACAACTGTTCTGACAGCGACTCCTCATTCAACCAAGTACAATGTGTTTTCTCTCTGTGTTATGAAATAAGCATGGTACTGCAAAATTGTTCACTTTCTGTCAGTGGGGGTTGAAAGGCAGCCCTAGAAAAAGATTCATCCTTCCTGCCTTTGATATATCCTAAACTGAGTTGATCACATTTCTTTCACTCTGAAGTACTAAGCTTATACTAGCTGTTTAACCTTATAGACAGCATATGCTAGATGGGATGAAGATATTACCCATATGCTCTAAAGCACCTATGCAAGTACTGCATAGGAAAAAATAGAATAATGCTAAAAGCAATACATCATCTAACTTTTTGTGATTTTACTTTAGGAGCCAAGAAATGTGCAGTTAATTTCCAGACTACTGCATTATGCTATATTACTTACTGAATGAATTGTTATAAGGAATTTTATGAAGCTGCAGGAAACTTTTAAGTAAAGCAAAGCAAAATATGTAATGAGAATTTAGTTGCTGTAAATTAAACTTTGGGCAAATGGCAGAAAATACTTAGAAAGTTGACTTTAATGTTAAATTAGTATAAATGTTGAAGTCCTAATTATTAAAAGTCAGATATCAGAATGACTGATGATTTTAATCTTCTGCTGTTCAGTTTAGTAAAATATTCTAATGGTCATTTTATAATGTGTATTTCAGAGTTTTACATTCATGAGTCAAGAACAGTTACAGCTGCTTGTAGAAAGGCTTGACCCTATTCAGCCTAAGGAGGTAAGTTTCAAAGAAAAAAAAATGTTAATATAAATGAATGTTTGTGGCATATGAGTTTGTATGTACCTAAGTGGAATCTTGTCTTTATTGATTCATGTATCTTGACTTCAGTGCAGCAACTGCTCTGCAGTGCACCATTTCATCGTTCATAACCATAGAATCATAGAATGGTTTG